GTGATAAAGTGGCAAAGGGCTGTCCCGTTCCTGTTTACAGCATTTGAGCCCTTGCAGCCTCTTAAACTAATCACTTTCCAAGTGACGTCAGTAAAGTCTCTGAGGGTTCAGGGATTTGGGTTTAGGGGGGACATGGATTGGGCCTAAGTGGGGGAAGAGCTAGACTCTCAGCACATTTAAAAATAAAATACCGTTACAGATTTTCGATCGTATATCAACAATAAATACATTAAATCAGACAAAAAAGAAAGATTTTTACTACGTAGCCTACTTAATCATAGTAGAAGCACAAAAAGCAAGCACTAATCACCAAATCAACAAAATCTAAACGTCATCAAAGTCCGGAAGGTAAAACGCTCTTATTCTGAAGTGCTACCTGTGGTAGTTGCTAGATGCACCCGTCAAGACGAGAAACTAAAGCGATCCATAGAGAGCTTTAAAGAATGTAGTAGAAGCACAAAAAGGACAAATAAGAACAAGTCATTAATGGCAGGCTACAAGCTTCGCTGCTGAAATGCTTCTGAGAGGCTTCCAGTGGAAGTTGCACACATGCAGCCTATGTCCATCCCTCAGAATTCCCATGATGCATGAGGGTGAAGGGAGTTTTGTTAAAATGTACTAATAAGTTGCCATTTGTTTGAAATACAAATGTTACTTTATGATTTATGTTTATTAAAACGTGTCTCATAGAATAGTGTTTGTTGGTAATTCTCATTCTTGTCATTTTCAAAAGATAGCAAACTCTTGATAATGTATACTTTATTTGAAGGAATTTCAACTGAAGTGAAACTCACTTGTTCAAGATTTCTTTTACAATTCCTGCAAGTTCGTTCTGGTCCACATCAGCCAAACTGTTTCCAGCAGACAGGAACAAACCCAGCGTTACAGCCATCCAGTACAGGACAGCCATCTGAGAGTGATAGACAAACAGCACCAGCAGAGAGGATAGAATCAGGGATAAGAATAAAAAAACACTAAATACATTACAATTTCAAAATATATTATCTGCAACAGGTTGTTGTTAAACACAGTGTTCACTACATGCTGCCTGTATAGTATTTACACTATATCTTACACATTATGATGTGCTCTAAAAACATTGAGCGAGGCTACAGTAATGAGGAAAAATGTGTCAAATAGTTTGCTCATTCTTGAGAAATATAGCAACACATTTAAAAGTCAAACTTTTACAAACTGTAATCCATACTCACTGTTCAGAAATTGTTCTCCGGCTATTTCGTCAGACTGTGGTCTGACGAAATAGTCAGCAGCTGTTATTGATTTCAGTGAGCAACAACACAGCAACCAGCCATTTCAGGACATAAGTGGGATCTCTATTTTTGCTGGACATTAATTGACTTAAAACATTTGTAACATTATGTGGTCTTTGTTTGCTGTGAGTCTTAAGCCTGGTATCATAACCCAACACTGAGTAGTGTCATGGAAATTATATTCCTGAGGAGGGGTTGAGCAAATAATTGAGTTTCCAACCAACCCACAAAAATAAAACTTCTGTTTTATCCAACTGGAATAACTATTATACTAGTAGAAAGAAGTAGGCCACATTAGCTGAAATTCTAATAAATACACTAACATTAACCCTAGTCAAACCTTAACAAGAGCGTGTAATAATAGAAAACTGTTGTGAAACAACTGAATTGTTGATTCTCAACTTATTAGCTGTTGAATTGTTACAAATAGCCTAAACTATCTGAAGGTAGACAATCCAAACAAAGCTTGTAATCTATATAATATAAACATTAATAATATTATTATTTACTTTATATTTAATGTTATAGACTATATTATTATATTATAGTAATATACAATTTTAAACTACTTACTTACATGACAGAAGTCAGTAACACAACTTAAAACTCAAAATTAACTGACTATTTACTTAACATGGGACTTGAACACTGTTCTCCTGTGTCAAGGTCCTGGGTTTGACCTATTACTTCACTCCACCTTCTAATGACTTGCTATTTATGATATGTCATCCTGCTTCCTCCTTTGCTACTGTTGTTATGCCACTAAGGGTTGCTGCCATAATAAATGAAAATCGGTGTAGCAATAACGTCCTTCCAAAAATTACCAATTTGTTAGTTTTTCTGTGGAGGACAGGCTGGATTTGGTACATTGAGTCCAAATCAACAGACACAAACATTAAAGTGTTTAATTTTCCCTTTTTGTCTGACTTCAGATGCTCAGTTGTGTTTTGAACTAAATACTAATATTTTTATGCTAACATGCAAGGTCAACACATTAACTCGCAAGTTAGCATTTTAACATTTATACATATCAACATAGTAAAGGTGTACTATTCTGCAGTGGTAGTTTTTGAAGTTCTGAGTTGTTTGTGATGCTGTAGGAAGCCATTGTAACTGCTGTCAATCCACACTCACTATAGCTGCCGCTGTCTATGAAGGAGCAAGATTTAAAATGTTTGAGGTGCCCTGATTGAGAATGCTTACCCTCACTGCTGCTGCCAACCGGATCTAAAAACAGAAAAGACACAACACCAATAATAGAAGTAAAAATTTGTATCTCATTTTAAAGGATATATTCACATATTTTCAATCTGTCTTTCAAATAGTCAGGTGCAATCCTGCTGTTTATACTGGCCATTAAAAGATCCCTTCTTAATGTGCTTCCAATGGAGCAGTTGGGGGACAAAATTCAGACTCAGAATCTGTTTTATTGCCAGTTATGTGTACACATATGAGGAATTTGTACATTGCTCACGATGTGCTTATTCATACAAAAATACAAAATCACAACAATAAAAATAAAATAAAATCAGACACAGACTTCAGTATAGACAACACAAATATACACACTATGAACAAAAACAATATAGATATATTGACAAATAGTGCAGTGAGCAGAGTGCAAAGGATGCAGGAGTATGTACATGTGGAGGTGGATGTGATTTACAGGTACATATTAATGTACACATGTACACAGTGCAATGAAGCATAGTGCAAAGGATGCTGGAATAAATAAATAAAGTATTTTTTGCAGGAGTTATGACTTGAGTTAGGTGGATTGGTATACAGTATCTACAATATGACAATATATCAGTATGAACAGCACTGAAATAGAGAATGGTGAATAAATTATAAGTGTTAGCCAGTAAACAAGTGGCTCATTAGAGGCAGAGTTACTGAGTTATTGTACTAGAATTGTTCCTGACACTGTGAGTCAGAAATCAGCTGTTCATCAGGTCAATGGCTTGTGGGAGAACCTGCGAAATTACTAACCCACCCATTCAACAGGTACAAAAACACAATATCAAAAACAAAAAGAACTTCTGCAGGTGTTTAACAACACTTTTGCAAA